CAGAGGAGACAGATGTTGTATGGCCGCCCCGGTTGGAAAGACTTCCTGTAATGATTGTGACGACAACAGAAGTCCGTGGAAACCCTGCTTTGCTGTATGTCCAGCGTGGGTTCTGGTTCTGGCACCCTTTTCTCCACCATCTCTTCAAACTGGTCCAGTCTGCAGCCAATAGCCTTCTCTATGGGCTTATTTTATGTGAATAAACACTGCTCGAACAACAAACCGAGCAGCGGCTACGTCACACCGCTTTTAGAAGACCTCCAACATCTCACGGCACGTCGAAGGACCTGAGTCTGTTCATCCCCTCTTTTGTTAGCAACTTGCTTTAATATAAAACCTTTTTATTCAAAACTAGAAGCCTCGTCTTTAACTTACAGATTTAAGTGTTTTGTTTTAAAAAATATGTTAACTTCTGTTTATCAAAATCCCAAAATATACCTCATTCAATACGATTCAGTTCTGAATATTATTTTATTCTCAAGTTTGTTTTTCCCATCACTGACTTGTACGTTTTCTTTACTTACAGAACATTTGTCAAAATATTAGACCGACTAAACAAAGATGATAAAACTGTGTCATCCGTGATGTCATTAACTATTTATTATTTTAACGGAGGGTCCTTTTTAATGGAGGTTTTATCAGAGTAGCTGAAATTTAAGACATACAATCGTGTTCGTGCTTCATAACAATCTGCCATAAATGAACAATATGTAGCATTAATACCTTAGCTGCACTGATCATATGAGATATTTCTGTTTGCAAATAGACTGTTAGATAAAATGTGTTTGCTTGAATGTGTCACAGTCTTTCCATCAACCATAAGGTAATTCTGATGCATTCATACGTGTACAAAAATCTCAACATGTTTAAGAAAATAAGAGTTCAGAGAAGGTAAGGCTGAAGATAAGGTTGTTACAGGATTTACTGCAGAGAGGTGTAACAGAGGGACACACTGGAAGGTGAAAGCGTACTCTCGCTGTTACCATTATGACCGAGTGTAAATAATTAAAAACTAAAGAAATTGCATTTCCTGAAAAAAATGCAGTGTGAATGCTCATTGCAGAAAAACGTGCTGACAAACAGCTAAAATTGGCTAAAAACATGCTAAAATGTAGCTGAAATGAAGAACTAGCCTAACGTAGCAGAAGAATGCAGAAAGAAAACATATTTTCTCAATCAGCTTTTAAATAAGCAGAAATTAGCACAAAAATTGGGAAATTAGTTAAAAAAGCTGAAATTACTTTGTAGCAAAAATAGCTGAAAAGGCAGAAAGAAGTTTAAACTGTCAGAGTGAAGCAGAAAGAGCTGAAATGAGTCAAAAAGGTGGAATTAGCTGAAAAAGCTACAATTAGCATAAAACAGCTAAATAATAGCAGCAACTAGCAAAAGTTGAAAAGAGCATAACAAGCTGAAATTGGCATAAAGAAGTTAATTAGCCTGACAGTAGCAGAAATGACCACGAAAAACTTGAATTTATCTGAAAACACCTGAAATTAGCTAAAAAAAATATATGCAAAAGTTAACTGAAAGGGAAGAATAAGCTTAACTTGGCATAAAAAGGCAAAAAGAACACATTTACCCAATTGGGCTGAAATAATCATAAATAAGCGCTCAAGAAATTTGCAAAAGAAACAGCTGAGAAGTAGCTAAAAAGACAGAAAGAAGCTGAAATTACAAGAAGTGGCGAGAACACATTTTTGCTGATTTAGGCTAAAAAAAATAAATGAGTGCAAAAAAAATGTGGAAATAGCTGAAAAGGCTTAAATTAGCATAAAAACAGCTAAATAGTAGCTGAAATGGTAGAAAAAGCTGAAACTTGCAGAAATAAGCTAAAAGGAGCATAACAAGCTGAAATAAGCAGAAATAAGAAAGTAAAAAATGGGTACAAAAAGGCATTTGTTCCTTCTGCGATGAATGTACAATGTCCTATTTAAACGCAGCCTCGCATAACAAACCATTGTCTGCTGAGATGTTTCCATATTTTTAATGTATCATGTATTTTAGAAAGTTTTTAATTTAATGTTTTTAATTGGGTTAGCAAAGCTCTTTTTTTTAATTAAGTTTTTATGACATTTTTAACTTGTGTTGTTTTCATGAGCCAGACGTCAAAGATAAATCTTTATTTCATTGAATGTTATGGACAATAAAGTTGAATTGAACTGAAGTTAGAAGAAGCACAAACATGTTGTCGTTAGCAGAAAGAATCTGAAAGGAGAACAAAAGAGCTGAAAAAACAACTGAAAGTAGCAGAAAGCTGAAAAAAAATGATTAAATTTGCACTAAAAAGCTGAAAGACGCTGAACCAGAACAAAATGTGAAAGGAGCAGTAAAAGGTTGTAAACAGATCTAAAGATATGAAGGATGTAAAATGAGCTCAGTTCATTTTCTACGAGGAAAAAGTGGCAGAAAAGGCTAAATATGTCAAAAAGCTAAAGTTGCACCAATACCAAAAGTCATGGCAGGATTGTCCTGAAAGAGCTGAACGTTTTCATGTACGATTTGTTGAAATAGCTTGAAAACTGTGCAACAAAAATCGAGCCGAAAAACCTACGGAAGAAAAATGGACCACGATAGTGTGAATGCTTTATAAACATTCACACAATAAGATTGTACTTTAGGGTCAGAGAGCAAGGGAGAGAGCAGAGCCATGAAGACGAGAAAGGGCAGGACTCTTCCTCTTTTGGAAGAAAACATGGAAATTGGAAATGACAAGAAAAAAAATATATATATATTTTAGGAGATAAGGTGTGCATTGTATTTCTGTGTAAAAAGGGAAATAAAATCCTGAGTTATTTTCTCAGTGGAACAACATCGCAGCTCAATTTCCTCTGAAAATAAAGGTTGGTGAAACTGTAATCTGAAGGGTACGAATCTTTTTTCAGTCTCTGCAGACACCTCCGTCTCTCTGCAGCTTCTGAAAGGACTCACCTCTGGAGTATTACTACGGTGTTGCTGAAAACAAAAATATGCTTTGTTACACATGATATCCTTGACATACATTGTGCACCTTGGACTGTGATCTGAAGCTTTCATCCATTCTTCGTGTTTCTGCAAAAAGTCTTTGTGCAGCACAGTTCCCCTCGTTCATTAAAGTCCAAATCACTATCTCAGAAATTTGTTTTAGCATGTACGTAAAATAGCGTTTTGTGGGGAGTTTGCTCAAAGATGCCATTTTAGGATGTTTAAGTGCCATGAAACATTTTTATTATACGCCTGTCAAAGGGCAGACATGTTGTGCAATCTCTGTCCGTATATGCTTACACTTTTTGTCCCGTCTATAACCTCTGATCTGCTCAAGAAGTTTGAACAAAACTTTGTACACATTTGCATCATCACTAGACGGAGTGTAGAACACACTTTTAATTGCCCCAGCTCCAAGGTCAAGGTCATAAATCAAGGTCAAATGGTATATTATATAGTCTTTGGTCTTTGGTCTTTGATTGTCTGAGTCATAACGTTTGATCCACTCAAAATTATTTAACGAAACTTGGTATGGATTTGTACCACCACTACATGACTTGTCACATATTTTCATCACCCCATCTTCAAGGTCAAGGTCACAAATAAACAGAGGTGGAAAGAGTACTGAAAATTTGTACTCAAGTGCAAGTACTGTTGCACTGCTTAAATTGTACTCAGTTACAAGCAAAAGTACTGGTGTTATAAAAATACTTAAGTAAAAGTACAAAATACTCTTCTCAAAAACTACTCAGAGTATTAATTACTTTTTAACCAATTGATGTTTCGTTGTGTTGTCAATAGAAGACATTCAGTTTGATTTATTGTATATAGTAGCAACTCTAAATTGTCCCTAGGTGTGAGTGAGAGAGTGAATGGTTGTTTGTCTCATTTGTCTCTATGTGGCCCTGTGATGGACTTGCGACCTGTCCAGGGTGTACCCCGCCCCTCGCACAGTGATTGCTGGACATGGGCACCAGCGACCCCCGTGACCCAAAATGGAATAAACGGGTAAAGATAATGGATGGATGGATGGATGGGTATATAGTAGCTAAATTCAAAGCACATTTCTCAGACGAACAATAAATTATAGAAAAATTACACTAAGGCCATTTCTTTTGTAAACAACTGTAAATAAAGCAGGAATGTTAAAAGAAAGACAAAAATGTTTTTGAACAGGCATAGAACAGTTTAAAACTTTTCCAAATACACTGAACATCAGGTAAGTGTCTTAAACTCTGACATTTCTGTCACCCTTCCCTTTCTGAACCTTTTGTTCAGCGTCAGCAGGAGCTGGTTTTCTAAGTTAACAGAGTCTATCCGACTTAGTTTTGCTAAGAATAAACTCTAAATAACTCTCTACGGAGTTGTCCTTTGCTTACGTCATGTTGACGCGATCATTGGCTACAAAGATGCTGATGAACGGTTTGAGTATTGATTCAAATTGTGTCTGTACTCGGTAGCGACTTCTGATTTTAAAAGTAGTGAAGTAGATTGCATGGTCTAAATTGTATGAGTAAGAAATACTCATACAAGTACCCCAAAAAATCTACTTCATTACAGTAACGTGAGTATTTGTAATTCATTACTTTCATCCCTGCAAAAAAAGTCAAATGTTATACAAGATTACTAAGGTATTGTTTTTATTGAAAACACTTAATGACTTCTTTCGGCTGTTCCCTCTTCAGTGGTCACCACAGCGAGTCATCCTCCTCCATCTCACTCTGTCCTCGGCATCCTCTGTCCTCCAACTACCTCCATGTCTTCTCTAACTGCATCCATATAGCTCCTCTGTCTTTTTTCTGGCAGCTGCATGTCTAACATCCTTCTACCAATATACCCACTGTCCCTGCTCTGGACATGTCCAAGCCATCTCAGCCTGGCCTCTCTAACTTTATTTCCCAGTTGTTCAACCTGCATTCCTAACCTTATCCAGCCTTACGCCTCAACATCTTCATTTCTACCACAAGGTCTAAAATAGAAGTAATTATTTTAGAAATTATTGGGATTGAATGATAATATATATATTTGCTTTTAATTAGCCCAAAGATGATTCAGAGGCCAATGGATCAGAACTCTCCACACTGTCCTCTCCTGTGTCTGGAGGGGGTCACCATGGAGAGCCGGCGAGCAGAGAGACCACTGACACCGAAGCAGCAGGTGAGCAGAGCTCAGCCAGGCTCCAGATGTGAAACCACTCACTCCTCCTTTACATCCTCGTCACATCCATCTATAATGAGGACAACGTTTCCCTGTGTTTGTGTCAGGAGATGATCTAGAGCACGAGCACGATACGGTGCTGCAGCTCCAAGAAGTCATCGAGCAACTGAGGAACGTCTTCCCTTCAGAACCGGGTGGGTACAGATTGGGACGGCACAAATCTGTGCTGCACCGGCTCACCAGACTTCAGAGACTTTCCCTCTCGAATGCCCCGGGAGAGCGTGAGCGATGGAGAGGAGCACAAATATGTACTGCTGCGGGTCGATAGTTCGAGGGAAGGGACAGGAAGATTAAATGGTGTAAAGGAGGAGGAAGATAAGTGACACACAGAGACTGCAGCAATGAAAAAATGACGGAACACCAACTGTCACCAACTTTATGAACAGCCCGAACACAAAAAATAAAGTTGTTTGCTGGGAAATTTAGGAAACTGTGTTCATCAGAAATAAACTTTTTTGTCAATTAAAGGAAGTAATCCATATTTCCCACAGTCTTTCATCGTTTACATGTTTGTTTGTTTCATCGAGTTTTAGACGAAGATCATCTTAGGTTGAGAAATGACAGAGTTGGAGCCATTTTGGTCAAACCTTGAAAAATAACATTCAGCATTCATCTCGTGGGATGTCACACTCAGTGTGTGTGTTGTGAATGACTCTCAGCTACTACCACAACAAATTTAAGCTCTCTATCTGTAATATTGATCAAAATATTGCCATTTTTACGTTGGCTAATGTTGAGTAACTGTGGCAGCCAAATTAAATTGGGGTACCTCAAAAGGTGATCAGCTGTAGAGGTACACTGTAGTCCCTCGCTACTTCACGGTTCGTTTTTCGCAGACTCGCTCTATCACGGTTTTTCAAAGTAAGATTGGACATGACACATGACTGATTGATGGATGAACTGCACGATCGGCATGGATATTTAAATTTGAAATAAATTATTTTAAATGATTTAGCACCTGCGTGCAGCCCACAGCTGTGGGAGAAGCTTCCTCCTGCAGCTGATCAGCTGATCTCCGTGCAGAGTGGAGAAGTGGGCGTGGCCGACAGTGCAGCCAGAGGCAGAGAGCTGAAATCATGACATTCTGTGCTCCTTTAGAGCATTTAGAGTTTAGAAACATTGTTCAGAATATTGCAAGAGTGTGGGAAGGGTTCAAAACCCCGTTATACTACTTCCTACTTGTACTACTATTCCTACTTTGCAGTTTTTCACTTATCGTGGGGCTTCAGGGTACGGATCCCCAGCGATAAACGAGGGACTACTGTAAATATCTTATGAGTTTCATTAAATTCCATTCAGTGGTCCATGAGATATTTTGCTAACAGAAAAGAGAGACCGAAACGGGTAATGCTAAAGTTTTAACCAAAGATCTTTCACAGTGTCTGGTGCTCTGCGGATGAGTTGGGGATCCCTCTTAGGTATAACAATTTTAGGTTGATGCCTTTAAACTTTGCTGAGTTTCAGACATTTTTGTACTTAGGTTGATTAGGTGTGGCAGCCATTTTGAATAGGATTATAAATTGATTGTAAATATACATCCAGTGAGTGTTTCCTGAACATTTCAGTAATCACTGGTTCTTCAGATATTTTAATAACAGACACACAAAAGATTCAAAAACAGAATAGTTCGCCTCCTCCCATTTCATGTGCTCCTCAACTTGTAAAATCAATTTTTTTCTTTTCTTTCCTAATTTCAGGCACCACCTCACACATCTAATCCTGAGTTGGACTCGAGGAGCAGAATGACGGCCTGAAAGGTTGCCTGATAGCTGAGGGAGGCGCTGGGGTCAGGCGGCAACGTGCCGGGCCCTGTGACCGGAGCAGCAGCAGCTCAGATTCTGAGAACTAACCCTCCTCCGGAACGCTGTGCACTAAAAGCCTCTGTCTTGCAAACTGCTGAAGACTCACACTTTGACCAGGCTGGGCTTCACAAATCCAGTGACACCGCGTCCAGAAGCAAAAAGGAAACAGTTGTTAGCAGAAATTCAGTAAGAGGAAGACTGAAGTGAGAAGAGACGCCCGGCCAGAGCACTGTGCTTACCAGTTTCTGTGTAGTCGATCAGAGGTGTGAAGCTTTATAACCGTTCAGAGCACAAATTCCACGAGAAGAACTTGGAAAAAATACTAAATCAAACAGAAAGGGAATATTGTCTCGAAATGCCTGCATTTTGTTAATCTGTTTTTACATCGGTGTTTGGTTTCTCCTTCAGTTTATTTTTGAGTCTTTAAATCAGGGATGTGCGGACTGATTTCATCTGTGTAAGTGGTGCAAATTGGAGCAGAGTGCACCCAGAACCGCTCGTTGACATCGTGAGAATGACGCACCATCTTCGGTTCAACTCATGGTTTATTTACGACAGCCAAAGTGCCCGCTAGCGCAGCGTCTGTTTGCACGCGCCGCGTTTCCGCGTCTCGAACTGCGTGCCGCTCTCATCGCTTCCCTTCATGTGCGCACACACACTTCTGCTGCTATACATACACTCTATTTACAAACCACTCTATTTACAATCCTGCATTATGCACAAAAACACAGACTCCCTGCATGATTGCTAAGATGCTGTGCTGCATCACGCAGACCTACACCCGCTTACTTTCAGCCAAACAGCGATCCGTTTATTTTCTCATTTGAATTCAGACAAGTTGTCTGTTTGAGCCAACTTGTATTGCGACTGGATTTGTGTCTTGTTGAAGAAATATATGCTGATAAATAACAGCATGCAGGCCTCCTCCCTGAGGTCGTATTGTTCTCCTGCTGTTTGAAGACAAATTGACAGAAGGAGCATCAGACTGAATCCCCTCCTTTTCTGTGCAATACCAATTCCAGACACTGCAGGGGACTCGCAAGGCACACCAACATAATGTTGTCCACAGACATTATCCTTAATAATCGCCTCATTTCATGCAGGTTTGAAAAAAGATTGGTAGCTATGTGCTTTGTCATTTCCCTTGATAGTGCATTAGATTTACACAAGCTTGTGTGGAATTAGACATTTTGGTGTAAACGTAGCACAATTAATGCCTTAAAACCAAATCGAATCCATACAAGGAAAGTTCATTTTTCTTAACTTTATTCTTTTTCTATACAGAGAGTGAAGGAGTGCGTGTTTGTCAGTTCCTGCACAGGCCGGTGGTTGATTGAAAGTGATGGAACAAGAGAAGTGAAGAGTGGGATCACAGCATAGTTGAACGTCCATGGGTTGAAACCAGTTTATGTGTGAACCCGTGGCGCTGGGAGTGCTCGGAGGGAACGAAGATGTGAAAGGCATAAAAGGAAGGTTGGAGGGGAAAAAAAAAAAAAAGAGTTTATAGCTTGAGGGCTGGTGGGAGAGATTTGCTTTGATGTGCCTACCACAGGAAAAAAAAACCTGAGACAATGAAGCTCTTGTGTTTTCTCTGAAATCATACCACCTAATTTTCTCAGAAAAAGAGGAGCGAACCATTCTGAACCTGGAGCAGAAGGCTCTCTGACCTCACAAACACGAGTTTTGAAACCCGTGCACTGCATTCATTACGGGCTCCCAACATTCACATTTGACACCATCCTCCTCTGCGCTTTGCTGCCTGTTAGTTTTGATGCTGTTGCTAGGGAACTGTCCCCAAGGACGCAGTTCCACAGGTTTGTGAGATGGGTAGGTGATGTGCCGTTCATATTACAAATGCTAATAGCCTTAAGGGAAGCGAGAAGGAGAGAGAGGGAGAGGGAGCACCTTGTTTCCTCAAAACCAACCCTCCAATTTTCCACTTCCACCTCCACTGAAACCTGCTGCTGTTCAGCTGCTGAGGATAATCATTATTATTAGTGAAATATTTTAGTGCATCAGCAGCAGCTCCAGCTTTGTATTTTTTTATTTTCTGGGCATTCACAAGTCAGAACAATGAGCAGAAGCTCGGCTTGTGGGAGAAAAGAAGTGTTTGTTCGCAGTCATTTATCTCTGGGTATTTACACATCTCATTAAACAATGATTACCCATCATGCATATTGTCTCCGTGCTCTTGTGAGTACACACAAAAGATGTAGCAGTGACAAAACGATGCAGAGGCATTCCCCATGTGTCTACTATCATTGTGTTTATTTCAGATGATGTACAGGAGGCAGAATGGCAAAAAAAACCTCATGAAATGTTTTTTATCTGTCGTCATCTGAAGTCTCATCCATAACATGCTCTTATCCTGCTGTAGGAACCTTATATTATCCACCGCACACTCATATAAACACGTCCCTGCTCCCGGTGGCAGAGGGATTAAAGATGAAGGCGAGTCTCCCTAAAAAAACACCATCACGGTCCTGACTTGGCATCCAACATATACCACGATGCGTCTGACCAGGCAACAAGAAATCATCACATCACACAACATAAACCAGGTTAATGCATCAAACACACACACTGATGAACTGAGATGTCTCGTTTCTTTTTAACTTGCCATTAATACGCCTCGTTAATCACCTAAATGTTTCTGGTTTATTAGTTTTGATTTTCTGTTTTAGTCCCAACCTTTTCACCGTCTGTCTTCTCTGGAGTTTTTAATCTGTATAAGAAGTTTTCTGAGGAAAGGCTTTTTACTGTAATAACAAGTGGATTACTGGCTGCTTTCTACTCTTTGTGTACAGAAATAAAACTTTGTATTTGGCAAACTTCTTGTCTGTGTACATTTTTTATGTGAAAGAAATGAGCCCTTTGAGAATAGAGTAAAACAGCGTAACTCAGAATGAGGCCAAGTACACACAGTTTAAAGGAAATTGTTTGGCTTTCAAGAAATAAATTATATTTATTTCCTGCTTATTTATCTCAGAGACTAATCAGTGGGTGTACATCTATAACATTGTTTGGAGCACCCATCACAGCTGCTCCACACTAGCCAATGCAAAAATGGCTTTAATAACACACACAAGTTTGTTGTGTTTATTTGTCATATGCAAGGTTAACACGGTTAACAGTACGATGAAATGCTTGGGATGAGAAGAACCAATTCGACTCGCTAAAAAAACAACAAAGAACAAACAAGAAAATGCAAAAAAGCATACAATAAGGGTACACAAAAAAAGTACCAAAAAGTGAAAAATTGATTAAAATATTTACAATGTCCTAAAGAGATACTGAGCAACAACATGGTAGAATATAATGGTGCAGCAGGATGAATTTGAATAAGTATTTTGAGGTAGTAATATAAGCTAAAATACACGATATACACATACAGTATATATACAGACACACACACCTCTCTCTCTCTCTCTCTCTACATATATATACTGCACATAACCAACATATACCACACGGGTTGTGTGACAGGTTATTGCACAGGTAGTGACATTGAAGTTGAATTATTAGTTATTGCCAGTTGTTCAGTGTTATTTATCAAGAGTTCAGTAATCTGACAGCTTGTGGGTAGTAGCTGTCCGAGTCTTTTTGTACGCGATGACGGACTCCTGTGTCCTCTGCCTAAACGTAGTAACGGAAGAGTCCTTGTGCTGTGTGGGTGTGGTCCTTAATGATGCCGCGTGCTTTATGCAGACATCTGCTGTGGTTGATGTCCTGGATGGTGTGGAGACGGCTACCTGTGATGTCCTCTGCTGTTTGCATCACCCTGTGTAGAGCTTTCCAGTTCTGACTGGTGCAGTTCCCGTACCATCCTGTGATGCAGCCTGTCAGCAGGCTCTCAATGGTGCACCTATAAAAGTTTGTGAGGATGCTGGTGTTTGCACCAAACTTCTTTAGTCTTCTTAGGAAATGGAGTCTTTGTCTGGTTTTCTTGACCACAGTGTCTGTATGTAATGTCCAGGACAAATCCTCGGTAATTTGAACACCGAGGAACTTGAAGCTGCTTTGTTTATGTAGATGGTGGAGTGCTGACCTCCACATTGTTTCCTGAAGTCCACTATCATCTCCTTTGTTTTGCTGACCTTTAGAGAGAGGTTATTTTCCTGACATTAGCTGGTCAGTGATTTCACCTCGTCTCTATAGGCACTCTCGTCGTCGTTGGTGATGAGACCCAGTATGGTGGTGTCATCAGCATACCTGATGATGTTAAAGCTGTGTTTGGCGCACACACGTTCATGTAAACGTACATTTTGGGGACTTTGCATTGACTTCCATTCATTTTCTACAGCCTAACCCTAACCCTAATCCATCTACACAAAATATCCAACATGTCAGAGAAGGGTCCAATGCAGGCAGAAGCAGGGGAAGCACTTAATGTGCTTTGATGGCTCCTCAGCTCTGATCTTCTGCCCCCTCAGCCGTGCGCCTTCGCCAAACATTAATAATAGTTGGTGGTATAAGCAGTCAAAGCTTAATTAAAAATATTGGGGGGAGTTTTCGGGTTCGGACCTGTAATTACTGTTAATTCGTAGGATCAGGTGGTGATGGCTGCGGGCTGGGGCCGGGTCAGTTCGGATTATTTGGACCTGAGTGCAACTCTAGTATAAATAAAGGTTGAAAATCCTTATGGGGACCTGGCTTTGGTCCCCACAATGTAGGATTTTTGGTAAAGATTGTCCCCACAATATAACCTGAAATAAACACGCACACTCAAAACTTACCTACGTCCATCCTGATGCATGCTCAATAATCCAGGTAGAAAAATCTAAAAAAGTTAAATCTGGTCCTCTGGACATTCAAAAAACAAAACAAAAAAATTGTAGAAACGTTTTGTCTTTCATCCACAAGACTTCTTCAGTCTGAGGTGCTGTATTCAGCTCAATCTTATAAATAGCACCTTCTTACCTACGTCCACATTGGGGACACATGTTTTAACTACTCACCTTAGGGGACATCCCTTTCTGAATGGTTTAGAGACAAAGTGTAAGTGATTTTGTTTACTCTAAATTCACAGAAACCAAAGTCACACACACATATACACACACATAATAACTCAGTCAGTTTTACCAATATCGAGCTAAAATTTGATATGATATATGAAAGTGACATTTGGAAAAATTGCATGAGATTGCGCATTAAGTTATTTCCAAGGTTTGACGTGCCACAAAAAAAGATTTTAGTCTAAACCTAGTGTGAAAGGCTGCAGGGCAATATGCATTCCTTCAAGGGATGCTAGGTCTTTAGGTTACTCTAATTTCTTGTCTCAGCTTTAAGCTTATTTATCTCTGTACCTCAACATTTGATGTAAACTTATTGGTTTGTTTTTACGGAGCCACCTTTTCCTAGCTTAGCGCTGGTGGCTTGGGTCCCAGAGTTTGTCCTGCTTGGATTTGTCACACCTTTTGTTTGGCTTTTGACCTTCTTCTTGCTCTTATCATGTGTTGATCTCTTGCTTGCTATAGTATCGGAGCTGGTGGCGGCACAGTCGCTATCTTTATGTGCTTTGTGGTTATCTGGTGCACCTGGCCCAGCTTCAGGAGCCACGACCCTTTCTGTGTTTTCATTTTCTGAGCCATCTCCACTCAACGTCACACATTCTGGCTCTTTTTTACGTTGCTCTGCTGTCAAACCTGGAATTCTTTTTGGTACTTCTTCTGTCTCAGCAGGGCAAGGTTTCTTTGAGCCTTCTGTCTCTTGATCCTTACAGTTTTCCGCCTTTTTATTTGAGTTTACTTCTGTTGCTTTCTGTGCAAATTTAATATTCTTTTTTCTCTCTGCCCTCTTAGTCTTGCTTCCACTGGGCCCCCACTTCTCCTTCGATGCATCCCAGTAAGTCTTGTTCTGGCGGGCGTGCATGGTGCGGACGTTTTCACCCAGCTTTTTCAACTCCTGCCGGACAAAGGACTTGAACTTTGGGTCCAATTTCTCCACCAGCGCTAAATCTCTCCAAGCTTCGTCCTCATTGCACAACGCAGAGTGAGCTTGTGCCCTCTGGTACACGGCCTTAAAGTTACCTTTAAGAGAAGCGAGAAAGGATACGAGTAAATGAGAGAGACAAAGACAGGAGAAAATATGAGATCAAAAGCAGCAAAATGAAACTTCCTGAGTGAGGCTGAAGCATCTTAATTGAATGCCAGAGGTGAAGCAGGTGACAGGAAACATCTAAGGAAAGCTAGGGAGGAGTAAACGATGGGGAAAGACAAACATAAAAACAGCTATTTCACATCAGCCTCTGCTATAAATAATTTATTTTAGAAGGAGCCGAAGGAAAACAATTCAGTTTAGACTGTGATGTCCGTGGGTGGGTGTCAGGGGGGAACAACAAAAGACAGAAACTTGGCTGTGAATGTTAGGTTTTGTTTTTTCTTGGCAAACAAAGAAATGAAGGATTGTTACAGACAAGTGTGAGGTGTTTGCTGAGGGACAGACATCAGACCCTGGTATTTTTTTAGATTTAAAAATGATGATAAACAGAAAAGTAGACATCACCTTGTGTTTTCTCTAAAGTACAGAGTCTGTTTTCACCCCCAACATTTTCAATTCAATTCAATTTATTTATATAGAACCAAGTCACAACAGAAGTCATCTCAGGGCACTGAACAGAAACATTCATATATAAAAAGTCAGTTAATAACATTATTTATCTGAGGAGCAGACTGCTTTGAATTTAACTTCAATACAGACTCTCATCTTGAGCAAGCATGACGGCAACAGTGGAAAGGAAAAACTCCTTCATGAGGAAGAAACCTTTAGCAGAACCAGGTTCAGGACAAGCGGCCATCTGCTTCGACCAGCTGGGTTTGAGGGGAACAGGAAGGAGGAACAGATACACAATGGCAAGTCGAGAATCATGTTAAGATAGAAATAGTATCAAATAAAAACTATTCAATTTTAGAAGTTCATTGAAGGAAATTAGGTCAATTTGTCCTCCAGTAGTCTTAAGCCTATGACAGCATAAGTCAACCCTAGCTATAGGATTTATCAAAAAGGAAAGTCTTAAACCCAGTCTTAAAACTGGACAATGTGTCAGCCTCACAGACAGAAACTGGAAGTTGGTTCCACAAGAGAGGAGCCTGATAACTGAAAGATCTTCCTCCCATTTTGCTTTTGGAAACTCTAGGAACTGCAAGTAAGCCTGCAGTCTGAGAACAATGTGCTCTGTTAGGAAAATATGAAACATAAAGATCTCCAATATAAGATGGAGCTAGGTGGTTGAGGGATTTGTAGGTTAGAAGTAAGAATTTGAATTCAATTCTGAATTTGACAGAGAGCCAATGGAGATATGATCTCTCCTATTAACTCCCAGTAAGATTCTGGCAGCAGCACTTTGGATCAACTGAAGACCTCCCAAAGAAGTTCTGGGACACCCAGATAATAAACCATTGCAATAGTGCAATGATCACTATAATGCAACCAAACATATGCTACCTTTATGCCTCTCCAGCAGCCTGTCGTTCAGCTCCACCACTTCCTGGTATCGTTTCAGCTCCAGCATGCACTGGCTGAGGTTGAGAGTGAGGGGAAGACACACTTTCTCCAGCGACTCCCAGTCCTCACCTTGTCGGTCCACCTGCTGAGAGGGACAGCATAGACGAACGGAGTTGAGGTGATGGATGACCGAGAAAATTTTGAAATGATGAAACCCAAACTAAAGTGTACCAACACGCATTTAAAAAGGTTAGAGGAAATGATGAAGATGAAGCTAAAATCTTGATTGATTCTGAGGATGGCAAGAAAAGAAAAAGATGAAGAAGGATGAAGTGAAGAAAAGAGAATTTGTAGTCTGTGAAAAGAAAGTAAAGACAGTGAGGTGGAACCGAGCAGTGAGTTGAAGAAGCGCAGGCAGGAGCTCAAGTACTGTCACAGTGGCATCTCTGTGGATATCTGTTATTTTTAGCATCGTTCCTCTGCTCTTCTTTGCTGACATAGCTTCAACAGCACAGTTTTTATTTCAGGGGGAAAAAGTATATCATTATTTTGAATTTACTGAAATGGTGGTAATTAAATATCAGAGACTCAGTCCTAAAGCTTTGCTGGGCATTTTTACCTCAATGCAGTACCCAGATAAAGTATTCATACCCCTTGAACTTTTCCATATTTTGTCCCATTAGAACCACAAACTTCAAGTATTCAAGTCTTTCACTGGAAAATGAGGTCATAGACCAACAGAGAGTAGCACAAAATTGTGAAATGGAAGGAAAGAGAGGTTTTTTTTGTTGTTGTTTTTTTACAAATAAAAACCTGATAAAGTGTGGTGTGCGTTTGTATTCAGCTGAACACGGTTTAAGCTCAGTCACATTGGATGGAGAGCATCTGTGGGCATCAGTTTTCAAGTCTTCCCACAGATTCTTGGTTGGATTAAGGTCTGGACTTTGGCTCACCTTTTTCCAAAGTTTACTGTGCCCCTCATTTGTCACCGGGATTTGTGGCTTTCTTCTTGCCACTCTTGCATTAAGGACAGACGTGTGGGGTGCAGATAAGAAGTCCACACAGGTGGACTTGATTAGCTAATTAGGCGACTTCTGAAGCCATTCAGCTTCCCTGGCTTTTAATTTGCAGTTATTAGCAATTATTAGTTATTAGTTTTGTGGGATTCTGTGTTTTTGTCGTGTCTTTTCTTTACCCCTTGTATTTCCTGCATTCCCCAGTGTTTTTCCTCCTTATGGTTCAGCTCCTGTCTCACCTGTCATTAATTCTAATCACCCCAGGTGTTTGTCATTTCTGTCTCATTACTGTTCTCTTTAAATTCAGTGTCCCTGTTTTTCTGTGGTCGGTGGATTGTGCTGTAAAGCCTGATGTTTTATTCCTCCCTAAAAGTAAGTTTTGCTGCCCCATCAGCTTTTGTTTTGTTTAAATAAATTCAAATTACTTATTTTTACCTAGGAGTCTCCTGTTGTCTGCCTGCATGTGGGTTCAACAATTAAAACAACAATCATGTCAAGTTTTAGTTATTGGCAATTATCAAAGAAAAGGGGGCTGGAAAAAAAAAGGCACGGCACATTCTTCAGATTTTCCATTTGTAAAACACTTTGAAAAACGTAGTATTGTCTCTCCCCTTCACATTGATGCTTTTGTGTTGTATGATAACATGAAATCCCAGTAAAATACTTCAAAGGTTGCGGATGGAAATGGTCAAGAATTGTGAATAGTTTTTCAAGGCACTGTAACTCTTACTTTACAGGACAGTTGTATACTTTTACAACCCATTACACGCACCTTATTTTGTAGGAAGTCCACATATTCTAAAGCCTCCCTAAACTTGACAGAAGCTTCTTGAAAGTGTTTTTGTTTGATGTGAAAGTTTCCTTCGTTCTGCAGCAGCATGACCAGTCGTAACATCTGCTGCCAGTCCTTCCCTTCCATTTTATCACAAGTGTTCAGGTTGATGGCAGGACAGCCTGCTTCCTCTTGCTCACCCTCAGATGGTGCAGAGTTACTTTCTTCAGATCCTTCTTTAGTAATTTCAGCACATTTTGGCTGAATCGACTCTTCTCCCACCTTCATCGCTGTTGTGACACTTTCAAGGTCTCCATCGTGCTTTTTTCCCTCCTTGCTGTCGGTCTTTTCCTCCTCCTCTTTATTCTTAATTTCCATTTTCTCCAGCTTGTTCCAGTACTGCTCCTTCTCCTCCCAGTACTTCTCCTTCATGCGCTCCGACAGGGCCTTCAGTTCTCGATGGACCAATGAGGACAAAGTGATGTCGAGGTGGGCCACCATCCTGAAGTCTCTCTGGGCCTCCTTTTCGTTCCACACAGCAGCGTGAGCCTTGGCCCTCTTGTAGTAACCCTTCACGCAGTCTGAGAAACGAAAATCAACAATATAAAAAAGTGTTTAAAACGAGATAATTGTTCGTCATACAACTGACTCTCTGGAAGCTGAAGGATTAATTTTTGACTATTTAAAATGAAGAGTAAATGTGTGTTTTCATTAAGGCAAGGCATTTCAGTCAGACAAAATCTGCTTAAAGATTTCTCACACATGGATGGTAGACATAAATTATAACAAGGTCTAATTGTGTGAATGCAACTTAACAACAAAAATAAATTATAACTTCTTTCTACCAATTTCAGCTTGTTATGCTCCTTTCAGCTTATTTATGCTAGTTTCAGTTATCTCAACTACTATTTAGCTGTTATGCTAATTTTAGCTCTTTTTTTTTTTTTTTTTTTTTTTTTTTCCCCCAGATAATTTCCACTTTTTTGTGCTCCCTTCTGCTTCTTTCAGTAAACCTGTGTTCTCTGGTTTCTTCTGATAACTTAAGCTTCTTCTACCATTTCAGATACCTTTTTTTTAAAGCATTTTTTAACTAATTTCCGCTGTTTTCAGATTCAAATTTTCTGTGGTAGTTTCTGCTACTTTGAGCCAAATTAACTTTATTTCTATTAATTTCAGCTTATATTCCTTTCAGTTTTTTGTGCTATTTCAGCTATTTATTTATTTGCTGTTTTGTGCTAAATTTAGCTGTTTCAGCTAATTCCACTTTTTTTTTTTTTTTTTTTTAAAGCATTTTTTTAGCTAATTTTCTAATGTTTGTGCTCCATCCATCCATCATCTTTACCTGCTTGTTCCATTTTGGGTCACGGGGGTCGCTGGTGCCCATGTCCAGCAATCACTGTGCGAGGGACGGGGTACACCCTGGACGGGTCGCAAGTCCATCACAGGGACACATAGAGACAAACGAGACAAACAACCATTCACGCTCTCACTCACACCTAGGGACAATTTAGAGTTACCAATCAGTCTAACATGCATGTTTTTGGTCTGTGGGAGGAAACCGGAGCACCCGGAGAAAACCCACGCATGCACGGAGAGAACATGCAAACTCCACCCAGAAAGGCCCCCGGACCGGGGTTTGAACCAAGGACCTGCTCGCTGAGAGGCAGCAGCTCTACCAGTTGCCACCGTGCTGCCCTGTTTGTGTTCATTTCTGCTTATTTAAACCTAATTCAGAAAATGTGTTCTTTCTGCTTTATTTGGCTAATTTAGCCTTGTTCTTCCATTTCAGCTACATTTCAGCATGTTTTTAGCTAACTGCAGCTGTTTTTCAGCAACAAGTATTCACACTGCATTTTAACAGGAAATGCAATTTCTCTAGTTTACTCTGGCATCTTTGCTTTGCAGCAGATATGTACACTCTCTTGTGTGAGTCAGCAACGTTTTTGTACAATTAATTAAATCCAATTAAATTAAAAAAATGCTTTATTAATCCCAAAGGGAAATTAAATGTTGTTGTAACTCATTATCCTGGTTTCATTAAAGAGTTGTTATAGATAATGATGGCTGTGGGCAGGAGTCAAACAGTGATAAAGATGTATTATCATCTCAGGACCAGCCATTTTAATGAGTGTTCACAAATTAAAATATTTCAAATCAAAAGACATATGGGTTTAAGGCCTAGCTTCATTTTCATCCTTAATACATATTTGTTTCTCTTCATTGTTGGGTTTTCAAACATTAAATGTATATTTCTTTGTTCAGTTTTACAGTTTGATGCATGTTTATTTGCTTTCTGCTTGAAGTGGCTTGATTATATTCATATTTCTTATTAAATGGAGATATTAGTTTCCCATAAGCAGAAACTAGCCAAAAGAGGTCTGCACAGTTTTAACAAAGTAACTCATATAGTTCACTAAAGACAGATTCTGTTCTCATTAAGGGGGCAAAAAAGCAAGTTTAAAGCTTATTGTTTTATAGGTTTTACTTTATGTTGATTTTAGACATACAGCACAGACTTTGTTACCTCTGGATAAACCCTCTCTATTTGCTAAACTAAGATGGAACTTTTGAATTAAATTGATAAGGTGTGAGAATCTTTTAAATCTCTGAGAATAATGGGACTTCACAGTGAAACATGAAACACGCAGTGTTCAACATCCATTGTCCATGGTCTGAAGTTTTGCCCTTTGTGTCTGTTGCTCATCATTTAATTTCTGTCTACTCTCAGTTTTTACTCAGCCAACAGTTAAACAGATTTCACTGTCGCCTCTGGCAAAAGCAGAGACACTGCAGTGAGACGCCTTTTCCAAAGAACAACTGAGCTGAAGGGATGAAACGGTGGTGGAGCGGCTGACTTAAACTACTGCAGACAACATGACACTGATGACAGGAGAAACAACAACACGGCAAGGAATGAAGCTAAAAGGGAAATGAGAAGGCGCTGAAAATCTGTAAAAAAGCGATGCAAAAGGTACTGCTAGAAAAGGATGAAGGGTAAGGCACTTAAAGTATGACGATATGTGGAAAAAGCTATTATAGGGTGAATTATTATTTTAAACTTTAGGAAGCAGGTTATAACCTTTGCTGGCATTTTGGACTTGACTAGTAAAGAATAAAAACTAAAATAATTGTATTATGTCCTGTAATGTGCTTTTGTCTCTTTTGTTACATTGACTCTATAATTGCTTAGTTTATACATCTAACCATAAAAATCTGCCTAATCAAATCTTTGGTGTTTTCTGAAAAGCGATTTTATTTATACTCGCAACATGATTGTCCAAACATTTTTTTTTATGTAAACTGAAAATCCTGGCTGAAGAATACAGTGTGGATGGAGTCTGTCTCAGTAGATTCTGTCACAGGGTGGGAGGCTGACTCTTGAGGCTCTGAAGAGGAGCCTGCGCCAGCATGTGAGGATCTTCTAGGCTTATATGACTGGTCCTGAGTGTGACAGTACGATTCCCAGGGCTGCTGCAGCTGTAAAACCTTCAAGAACATCAACCTCATGTCCTCCTACACACTTTACAGAAGACAGGGCTGCTACATTCAGGCGCTACTGACGGTAAGGCTAAAACAGGAACAAGGAAACTTCATACAGTGTTTTTTAAAGGTACAGCTACTGTTTCTACAGTAATACGGCTAATTTAATGTTTGCTGAAAAATGTGGACTGAAGAAAATATGCCAGATTGTTTTATTAGCATGAGTTAGTGAACTATTTCCACTATCAAACTCTTTTCATAGTACGCTAACCAAAATTAAGCTAAAATTAATTAGGATAAGATACAATAGGCTAATTCTGTCTAACTTTTTTACTTTTGAGAGTTCATAATGAACTTACTGATAAATTTGGCAATACAAACTATTTGTGTAGAGTAACAAGCTGATATAGTTTGCTTTATTAGCATAATCACATTTAGTAGCATATTACTTCCTCAGGCAGCTGAGGCGAGCTGGTCTGGGAAGCTCAGTCCTCACCTCCTTCTACAGGTGTGCAGTGGAGAGCATCCTGTGCTCCAGCATCAACGTGTGGCATGGAGGCTGCACAGCTGCAGAAAGAAAAGCTTTGCAGAGAGTGGTGAAGGCTGCACAGAAGACTGTTGGAGTCAGTCTCCCCACCATCACAAACATTTACACCTCTAGATGAAGGAAGAGGGCCACCTGCATCATGAAGGACCCCACTCACCCAGCACACACTTTTTGCCCCGCTCCCCTCAGGCAGAAGGCTGAGGAGCATTAAGTGTAGAACCACTAGACTAAGGAACAGCTTCTACCCCGAGGCTGTTAGACTCCATCCATCCATCCATCCTTTATCTTTACCCGCTTCTTCCATTTTGGGTCACGGGGGTCGCTGGTGCCCATGTCCAGCAATCACTGTGCGAGGGGCGGGGTACACCCTGGACAGGTCGCAAGTCCATCACAGGGCCACATAGAGACAAACAACCATTTACTCTCTCATTCACACCTAGGGACAATTTAGAGTTACCAATCAGCCTAACATGCATGTTTTTGGTCTGTGGGAGGAAACCGGAGCACCTGGAGAAAACCCACACATGCACAGAGAGAACATGCAAACTCCACCCAGAAAGGCCCCTGGACCGGTTTTTGAACCAAGGACCTGCTCGCTGAGAGGCAGCAGCTCTACCAGTTGTGCCACCGTGCTGCCGCTGTTAGACTCATGAATCTCTAACCAGAATAATCACTGACAAAAATCACATGTTGCTACTGATCTGTTTCATGTTGCTGCTGATCTTTTTCATGTTGCTGTGTTCATGCGTGCTCATCTGCTCACACAGACTCGTGTGTGCTGCTGTTCGGTGTATTGTTTTAATGCTATTTTACGCTACTAGTGCTTAGAGTATTTTAATGTTTTTCTTAGTTCATATCTTGTATCTGTTTTTTCTTTTACATTTTAATACTTTTGTTGGATGTAACTGGGACCCTGTGCACATAATAAGAACCTTGAATAACAGTTGGCAGTAAACAACTTCACAACTATTTCTAGCTTGTTTTGTAGTTGTTACTAATAGTAAAACTAGAACAGAAATAGAAAACATTTTCCATTGTTTTAAAAAAAAAGTGTTTATATGGAAATTTAAATTTTAGATAAAAAAGAATAATGGAAATAATGTAGGCTATATTCATTCATTCAACCTTTATTTAGATGGGTAAATCCCATTGAGCCTCGAGGACTCATTTACAAGAGAGACCTGATTTCAACAAAGATGACAACAATGGACAACAACAGCAACAACAATAAACAATTATAGAAAGTCATACTGCAGGGTTTTTTGTTTTTGTACAAATAGGATGGCTAAAAGAAAAAGGTAACAAAAAAAAAACCTGCTAGATTCTAAGGCGAATGTAGAAAACTAAAAACAGGAACAGGAATATAATGTACCTAATCAAGCTAAACTGTTAATGCTATTCTACATCTGCTTTGGGCATTCAAGAATCAAAAATAACTAACCTAATGAGAAATTTATAGATTGAAACAAACATTTTACTACTTGCTTAGATTAATCAGGTGTCCTTGCTTGTATGCATCCTTACATTTCTATGCGGACAACACAGTAGTTTACTGTCGAGCTAGAACAGTTGCTAAGGTTTTCCAGCTTTTACAGTCTGCATTTGACATCATCCAGTCAGATTCGTTCTCTCAAACTTGCGCTAAGTGCTGATAAAACCAAAGGGATGTTGTATTCAAACAGGAAGTCATTACCAGCAGTCCTTCCTTCTATCTTATCTATGAATGGTGTTCCTATTGAGTTTGTCAATTCTTATAAATACTTAGGTATTTTGGTTGATTCGCATCTCTCTCATGTCATGTCGAAAACTTGGAAAAGAAACTGAAAGTAAAACTGGGTTTCTTATTTAGAAACAGATCCTGTCTAACTCTGAATGCTAAGAAAGACCTTGAAACTGCTACATTCTTTCCCTCCATTGATACGGTGACAAGCACCCTGCAGATGTTGGACACTGTCTATCACGGTGCGCTAAGATTCATAACTGGCTGTAACTACTGTACCCATCACTGCACCCTGTATTCACTGGTTAACTGGACATCATTAACTTCATGTAGACTCTCACACTGGTACATTTTCATCTTTAAGTCACTTCTTGGTCTGTTGGCTTCATACATCTCCTCCTACATGTCACTCTGTGAGTGCAGCTACAGTGTGCACTCTCAGGACATAATTACTTGCAGTGTACCCTCAGTGCAAACCGAATTAGGCAAAAGGGCCGTCTCTTACTCCGCTCCTGTGATCTGGAACACCTTGCAAAAAGATCGGAAGCTCTCGACCTTGACCTCTCTAAGGGATTTTAAAAAACTGCTAAGTTCGTGGCAAAAACAGGCAGATTGGTAACTCTAAATTGTCCCAAGGTGAGAGTGAGTGAGTGAACGGTTGTTTGTGTCCCTTTGATGGACTTGCACCTGTCCAGTGTGTACCCCGCCTCTCGCACAGTGATGACTGGACATGGGCACCGGCGACCCCCACGACCCCAAAAAAGAGAAGAAACGGGTAAAGATACTGGATGGATGGAAAGATGATACTAAGCATTTATGAAATTTTGAATTATTTGCTAGCAAAAATGGGTTTGTGAAGTTGGAAACAATTAAAGTTGGGGGTGTGTGTGTTGTAGCAGAACATTGTCCACAGCGTCCTGCTTCTGTTTAAGGTCGACGGTTTTCTTATAGAGCTGCATATTTCCTGTTTAATGATGTGCACGGATATGCTAAGATGCTGCTTGCCAGGAGGAAGAAATGCTGTTTTGATGTCCTAACTCAGCCCTCGGGTAATCACAAATTGGTGCTTCTACAAGTCATTTAAGAAGTTCCTCTGTTTCCATCACATCCAATGACTGCTCATTTGCCAACTAACACAACACACCTTCTAAGTGGTGTCACTTTAATTAGATATTCCATTAACATTAATCACATTAGTGTGTGTTTTCCTGGCTCTAATAATGGTTGATAAGTTTGCATCGTGTTTATTTTAAACAATACTGAACATTTAACAACATATTAACTAGAGGAATTGCATTTCCTGTGAAAATGCATTGTGAATGCTTATTGCAAAAGAAAATCATGAAAAAATGCTGAAATAAACTAAAAACATGCTGAAATGGAAGAACAAGCCTAAGTTAGAAGAAGAAAGCAGAAATAACACATATTTGCTGAATTGGGTTTAAATAAGCAGAAATGAGCACAAAAATTGGTAAATTAGCTGAAAAAGCCAATTAGCAAAAAAATTGCTGAAACGTAGCTGAAAAGGCAGAAATAAGCTTAAGCTACTAGAAGGAAGTGAAAGGAGCTGAAATTAGCTAAAAATGTGGATTTAGCTGAAACAGCTAAATTTGGCACAAAACCGCTAAATAGTAGCTGAAATAGTAGTAAAAGCTGAAACTAGCAGAAATAAGCCGAAAGTATCATAACAAGCTGAAATTAGCAGAATGAAGTTCATTGGGCTGAAAGTAGCACAAATTACCACGAAGTACTTGAATTGTTCTGAAAACAGCTAAATTAGCACAAAAAAATTAAAATGTAGCTGAAAAGGGAGAAAAAATTTAAATAACACAAGAAAGTATAAAGAAGACATGTTGGCCCAATTATTCTACCTTTATTTGAACAAGTTAATCCCACTGAGCCTCGGGGACTAATTTACGAGAAAGACCTGATAAATTACACTGAAGCAGAAATGAGTACAAAAAAGTGCAAACTATCTTAAAAAAAAAAAAAAAAAAAGAAGCAGACATTTGCACAAAAACAAACAAAAAAAAAACAGCTGAATAGTAGCTATAAAAACAGAAGTTGAAATACTAGCAGGAAGTGAAGAAAGCATTCTGCTGAATTAGACTGAAAAATGTTGAAATGGGTGCAAAAAATGTGGAATTAGCAGAAAAGGCTAAAATTAGTATAAACAGCTAAATAGTAGCTGAAATAGCAGAAAAAGCTGAAAATGTCATAAATAAGCTGAAAGGAGCACAACAAGCTGAAATTAGCAGAAAGACGTTCAAAGAAACACAAAAATGTAGTTAGCAGAAAGAATCTGAAAGGAGCACAAAACAGCTGAAAAACAGCTAAAAGAAGCTGAAAGTAGCTGAAGTTTAAATTTGCACAAGAAAGCTGAAAGAAGCTGAACCAGAGCAAAAGTGAAAGAAGCAGTAAAAGGTTGTAAACAGATGTAAAGATTTGAAGGATGTAAAATGAGCTAAATTCATTTTCTATGAGGAAAAAAAGTGGCAGAAAAGGCTAAATATTTCAAAAAGCTAAAGTCAATTCAAAATACTTTATTAGTCTTAATTTATCTTAATTTAATATTAATTAATCTTATTAATTTGTTTATTAAAGTTGCACCAATACCAAAAGTCATAGCACTCTTCTCCTGAAAGAGCTGAACGTTTTGATATATGCTTTGCTGAAATGGCAAAAAAATGTTACGAGAAAGAACAAGAGGCCGAAAAATGTACGGAAGAAAAACGGATCCCAATTGTGTGAATGCTTCATAAGCGTTTACATTATTAAATGTTATACTTGAGAGTGAAAAGTGAATATTTACAGAATGTATCCTCTCAACCTGGATATTATTTATGCATTGTTATAAATATTTTTGTCAAACAAAAACAGCAATATGTTGATATATGGAGATGTGTATAAGGAATGCTAAATGGTGACAAAAGCTGGATTACACATGTAAGAAAAATCTTGGCATTTCAAATGTTTGTATTGTTGAAGCATTTTTTATTTGCCAGCTTAATGCATGTCTATCTAGATTTTAACAAAGTGTTTTATACATGCCAAGACAATCATTAAGGTTTTATGAAGAACAACCAAATTTGTGTCTAAATTAAGAAGTCTGTAAGGCTTTAACTGCTCTGTGAAGATGAGAAAAAATAATTTGGGATAATAAATGCCACATACCAACAAATGCTGATAATCTCTATATGTTTTCTTTTCAATTTGGGAACAACATTAGCCTTGGGCTTGGAGCGTTGTGAACATATGGTGTATTTTGCTGCTTCACATCTCTGTAGTGAATAATAACCCCCGACTGTTAAACCACCTCAGTGCACAAGATTAAGCGCGCAGCTGCTAACCTCAGAGGTATGATGGAGTGATGCAACTGCAGGAGTGTGAAGCTAGGTGACACAGGAAAGGGGAAAAAACTTCCCGTCTCATTTCTTTTGGAAGAAGTTTGTTGTAAAGCAGATCGTGTCTTTTCTGATGATTTGCTTGTACCTTTGTGTTTCTCCAGCAGCTCGGTGGCGTGCTCTATTACTTCGTAGTACTCCTCCAGCTCTAGCATGCACTGGCAGTAGTTCAGCTCCAGGGGAACAATCATTCGACCCAAGTTAATGTAGTCCACATCACCCGGCATCTCCTAACACATGCAGAGATGAGGGAGCAAAAGAAAGGGCTGATGTTACCTGGCAGCTCCAACACGTATCTTAATAATGAATATGGTTGTTTTAAATATTTCCAAACTGATTAAACATGATACAGCGCAAGATAGCAAAATATTCTCTCTATGAAGCTTTACTAACTTTAACCAAAGGTTAACTGCCTATATTTAAACTGCTTTAATCCCAAAGCTGCTATATATTGCAATCACCAAAGTTCATGCTCAAGAATCCAGGTAAAGAAATCCAACAAAGTTCGGTCAAGTCATCTGGACAGTTTCTTTTTTGAGACGTTCGTCCTTCATCTAAAGGATTTAAGTGCATTAAGTGCAGAACCACCAGGCTGAGGAACAGCTTCTACCCTGAGGCTGTTATGACTCATGAATATCTAACCAGGAAAATCACTGTGAAAATTGAAAAAAAACCTGAAAATAGCTGTAATGCCACTTGGTTGATGTGTGCTGCTGACTATCCATGATGCTGATCTCATGCTGCTGATTATTTCATGTTGCTGTGTTCATTAGTCCTCATCTGCTCATACAGACTCATGTTCGTGCTGCTGTTGTTTTGGCGCATTGTTTTTGTACCATTAGTGCTTAGTGTAATTTTAGTTTAGTGAATGTAGTATATTCTTAGTTCATGACTCTGATCTTACTAATGTTTTTCTTTACAATTTGTATTTTTGTTGGATGTAACTGGGACCCTGTGCACATAGTTTCGTTCCACCTTATGTACCACATGATGTGAATGACGATAAAAATCCTTGTATCAACAATCCAGTTTAAAAAAATCCAACAATGTTCAGTCAGGTCATCTGAACGGTTTCTTTTTTTATTGAGACGTTTCATCCCTCATGCAAAGGACTTCATCAGTCCTGGTGAACTGGTCCAGATGACCTGACTGAACCTTCTTGGACACTTTGTCTGGACCACCAAACATGAAACCTGATGTCCTGAACCACTTCGGCCATGGCTGCCTGTTTGTGGCTCCTCAGACTGATGAAATCCTTTGGACGAAGGACGAAACATCTCAACCAAAAAAGAAACCGTCCAGATGACCTGACTGAACTTTGTTAAACATTACAGTTTTCTCGTGCAGCATTCTGACTGGTCTCTAACCAGACTGTCTCTCACGCCGCCTCGTTTTCCTCTTCCATGTTTCCATTTTTACACCCATTCTCAGTTTTGAGCTGTTTGCCCTTTCCTGTGGGTGCCAGGCCTCCCACCCAGCTGCCTGGGAGCAGGAATACAACAAAATAAAACAGATCAAAACAGGAAGTTCTCCCCCTGGATCCTCAATGGTCATAAAAAAAAGAGAAAATCAAATTAAATCCTCCTGTACCTGTGCAGCAATCATTTATCTCCCTCTCTCCTTCCCACCTTTCATCCACCTGTCCTTCACTCACCCTGGACTGAACGGTTTTCAGCAGCAGGACAGCTTCTTTGTACTTGCTGGCAGCCTCTCTAAATTGTTTCTGCTTGACCAGAGCGTTGCCCTGCATGTGGAGAACCGGCACCGCCTGCAGCTTCTCATCCTTGTCCATCATCCACGACTCTCGTTCATAGGATAAGGGGTCCCCAACCTGGAAGCAACGTGGGCAGGAAGAGCAAAGAGCAGAATCAAACTGTGGGGGAAACCTCCAAAGATGGAAGTGAACTGTTTTACAAAATATTATTTTTCTGACAAGCATGAAGCATGATCTTAGATTAAAACCACTCACAGGAACCTGTCTATGATAACATCACAGAAAAAAAATCATAGCTATAGTAGATAGAAACATAACATTTAAATCAAAGTGCTGATTTCTTGTAGATAAATGAACTTTTGTGTCATTTTTCTGCTGTTTTCACACAATAAAGTGATCAAACTTGTTCAGGATAAAGTTTCGCAACATTCTGAGTAATGAAAGGCAGTTTAGAAAAATGCAACACAACTAAAAAGTATTCTTCTAGTTAAAAAATAAAGAATATTTTAAATAAATAAAAAAAACTATGTAATAATTGTTTGAACAAAATATTGCATTATAAAAGTTAAAGTAATTTTCTAAAGGCCACAGTTTTATAATTAACAGAACAAATATAGTGTGCATATTATGACTTATGCATGTATTGTTATATTTATATTTTGTTATTATGTTGTGGTGCATTTCATGGGTTCCCAACCCTGGTCCTTGAGGAATGCCGTCCTGCATGTTTTAGTTGTTTCTCTGCTCCGACACACCTGAGCTTAATTAATGGGTGATTAACAGGCTTCTGTGGAACAAGAAGTAATTATTTTTATTGTTTTTATTCTATTAGTGCTTAGTGTATATTTACTTGATGTTTTTCTTAGTTCATACTGTATCTTAAATATTATTACTGTTTTTCTTTTACAGTTTGTTGGATGTAACTGGGACCCTGTGTACATATTTTCGTTCCACCACATGTGAATGACAATAAAGAATCTCTGAATTAAATCAATGAATCAGGTGTGTTGGAGCAGGAAACAGCTTAAACATGCAGGATGGTGTTCCTCAAGGACCAGGGTTAGGAACCACCCAGTATTGGAGAAGAGTTGATGGCTTAACACCATCTTTGTTTTTATTTTTCATCTACAGATAAAGATGCAAAACAAAACAAAATAAAAAAAAACTATATGATTTTATAATATTAAACAATTAAACAACACTACAGGCTTTACAGCGAATAACACAAGAAAAAAAGGAAACAAAATTCAAAATGGGGGAAAGGATTTTAATTAAACAGAAAAAACTTTTAAATAGCAAAACAATTTTTTTAATCAATCAAAGGTATTTCACCAAAAAAGCATGTTTTGTTTGTTGAAATATTTTAGAAATGCTTTCTGTTTTGCTGCTTCCTTCATTTTTCCATCGTTAATCGTTTTGTTTTAGTGTAATGTCGCGGCGGTGTATACCTGCAACAGCTCCATGATGAAGATCAGTGGCTGAGGCGTTCGCATTATCTCGTCCAGCTCAGGGAAACCAGTGGAGTGATAGTGGAACAGGTTCCCCATGCCACACATGTGTCTCTGACCCTCCAGGGGGTCTTTGCCTTGAGCAATCAGTCTCATTCCTTTGGACACGATGGGATACAAGCCTGTGTGCTGTACAATTGGCACATCAACAAAAACATGAGCATAGGTTCTAAAATAAAACAAAAAAAAAAACATTTAATCATGCTAAGCCCCTGGTGCTTTAAGCTGCTGCCAATCAGAGAAACAAACAAATTAGCCCAGTTTGGCTTTTTAAAGATGTTTTCCTTTAGAATAAAAGGACTAAATTTGCTCATATGTGTGTTTGTTTGTATTATTGTGCGCTGAACATGTAGGAGGCTGCTGAGGTCTGACTCATAGACGATGTATGAGAAGGAAAAGCTATCCGTACATCCTCATGACGACTTATTAGGGCCTCTTAAGCCTTTACATCCTAGAAAATACACTTGTGGGTTGTGGTTTAACTCACAATGGCGTCGCACCAAAATTCTGCCACTTCTCCAGTCCTCATGGACATCAGCATGGGCTCCCACACCTCCATCTTGAACATCTTTCCAACAAAGATTTCAGCCGGTCTGCCAGCCAGTCGGCTGTCATCGATGACCGTCCGCTCGAAGTTGTCCAGGAGAGTTTGGAAATGGAAGACGAGCTTGGATGAGGAGAGAAAGTGTCCAGCAAGTGTCTGTTAAAGGGCTCAGCTGTAACTTCCAAGCAAAATATGTTATAAACAAGGATGACGAGATGACTCTGCAACAATTTGCTTTTTTTAATTTATGATGCCATTAATTAATCAATGGATGATCTTGACAACTGTCTCATTTACTTTTTATTGTCGATGGCCTTTAAGCACAAATGACAAGAAAAACGTGTTCTTTTTAACCCTAAAACTGTTCCTGCATGTTCATCATGCCTCATGCTGTTACAATAAGTCCATCCTCATTATCCTAACCCTCAAACCAAAGGCCTAGAAACGTTAATATTATTTAAATGACACTGAAATTCTGCCTTTAAGCTGCTTTTATATTCCTCCCTCCTCCATCTCTACCTCTGGGTTTTCCTAACACCAACGTTGGTGTTTAAATCCTGAGGGTTTCAGTCCAAATCTCCCACCTTTTTTCTGGAATACATGGCTTGTGAGGAATTGGTGTTAATTTAAAAAAAAATCTTGCATGTCTATTATTTGCTCCAATTTGTGTTTTATTTTATAATGTGATTTTGTGTTTCTATATTAAAAATATTCATGATTATTTTTGCCTCCCATCTGTGGAAAAAAGTATCAAAACCTCACATTGCAAAATCATATTGAACCCTTCTAAAGCCCTATTTACAGGCTGATAGACCGAGTCCAATAGAAAACACAAGTCTTAACTGTGCAAACAAATGGGGATCACCTCAGCGGAGTGGGGACTCATGAACAGGTGAATGGAAATTCATGCTGGCATTGTCATGGAAAATATTTGTCACAGTGTCCAGGCTCGACGCCGTATGGTCAGACAGGAAAAGAAACACTGGATAAAGACCGGGCCAAAATAACATGTTGTCAGTTGATCAAACATTTGCTCTGTGTGGGAGCCAAGACCATTTTCTCACCTTGTGAATAATTCATAAGAAGCTAATTTGGGAGGAAAATGCTAAACACATGTAAAAAAGACATTTGTTCATAAAGTGTAAGATCAGTTCGACCATATGGTTGTTAATACCTTGGTCCCAGGTGGAAAATGAGGCAGTGGTCCTTTGCCTCCAGCCAGAATTTTCTTCTGGACTCCTGGATAGTTGCGAAGGTTCATTTCCTCCATCGCCTCTGAGATCGAACTGAGAAGTTTGTGTGTTTCGAAGATCTCTTTCCCCACTTCCTCGAGTGTGCTCTTTTGGCTTTTCTAATTAGCCCAGTGAAGAGAGTCTTGGCTGGTTTGCTGCTCTCTGACAGATGGCAGGATTAAGCAGGGTTTGGAGATGGCCACTTTAATCTGCAGAGCTAATCCCTCGCCTACCCCTACGATTGGTGGGGCAATCCCTGCAGGAAGATGTAGGAGAGGCCAGAATTATGTGGATAAGAAAGGTCCAGAACACTCCTCGGACAACTAAAGATCCTTCTGGTAGAGGGGCAGTTTGAGGACTTGACGGCTTAGAGGTGCAGCTTTCTGACCGTGGGAAGTCTAGCACGACAAACTTGATTTATCTAATAATTTTTCTTTTAAATTATTCAATTATTAAAATGTCAGCAAGCTGAAATTTTTCGTGTGTTAAAACAGAAAGTAGAGCATGAGGCACATTATACGTCTGTTAAACATATAGCAATCTATAGCAATAGCAGACCTTGTATAACATTTGACCTTGATTTGTGACCTTAATGCTGGGGTGATGAAAAGTGTAAAACTCCTAGTGATGCTGCGTATGCGTATCAAGTTTTGTCAAATTATCTTGAGCAGATCAGAAGTTGTGGGCGGAACAAGAGAAAGTTTATGGACATACAGATGGAGACTAAAGCAAAACATCCACTTTTTGACAAGAGTATAACAATTTTTGTTTTTCTGATTAGTTCTGAATTGCAAACTTAATATCAGTAATGGTTTAGTCCAGTTTATTTCTATCTTTTTTAAACATCTCAGGTCTGAAACACAATTAAAAACTCGTTTATTTCTGTCCAAGTGTGACTGATAAACCATAAATCCTGATTTTCTTCAATTTTAATTCATTTTGATCATTTATTAGGATAAATCAAATAGAGCTTACATGGTTTAGGTTCACCTTGAGTGGACACTATATAAATTTTGACAAAGTAAAAATACAAAATGGAAAGAACATTTTCCTGTGGGGTGACACGTGACAGTATACAAAACAAATTCAATAAAATCCAGTTATCAGGTCTTTAACAAGTCTATTTATTTTCCAAAAAACACAAAGGATGAATTGAAGTAAAACTTGGCTAAAATGTAAGCTTTTGCTTTAGAATGACAATTTAAACCAAGACTCTCCCTGGAGACGAACTATTAACTTCAATTATGCAGGAACTTGCAAAAATGTGACCAAAAAAACTTTTACAGAAACCAGAATGTTGTTGATGCAATGCAGAAAAATGACTTAATGAGGGGGATGGAACAAAAAGCCTGCTAATAAAGGCCTCCTCTATCCTGCATGAAAGCTTATTTTCCTCCTCTTCCTCAGGATGACGAGTGGCTGAAGATGTCACGAGACTGCCCCCTGCTGGTCACTTCTCTATCAGCGAGTCCAGCTGCTCCTGCAGGGAAGCCAGCTGTGGAAACACAAAACAGAGGGTGTAATTGATGCCTAGCAGCTCTGGAGCTTAATTGCAGAGTAAGTAGATGATTTCTCATATGTAATTTCAAATTACTTTTTATGCTTTCTCTAGCCATTACACTTAAAAACTCAGAATTGGGCACAGTCATTATGTTGCAGCAACAACCACCAACAAATTGCACGCCACTTAATGTGAGCATCCTTTTAAGGATAAAACTGTTTTTAAAAAAAAAAAAGGGGGCAGTCAACAAGCATCATATCGGTCAGTCACACAAAGATGTAGAAAACTGATGCTGATTTTTTTTTAGCTTTTAACATACCTGCTCCATCTCTCTCTCCTCCTGCTGAATAATCTCGTTCAGCAAGGCTTGGAATCGGTTCTGAAATGGACGAGAAACAAACAAGATTTGTACGAGTCGACACGCTGAGCCTCATTAAACTGTGATGACTTCAAGTGTGCGCCTGCCGAGGCTGCTCATGTCACGATCTTCTCCCCGACAGAAAGGCCACTTGGAATGCCAGTCAGAGACAGCTGACCTTTTCCACGCGACTGTGATAGTAACGACTAGTGATGGGGCTTTGACGGTCCCAAAACACTACCAAACGAGAGCTCTAAATGGCAACATTAAAAAAGGCACCACGTCTGCTCATGTTCCACTCATCGTAAAGTCTTTGCTAAAGAGAATTGGGCTGGAGAATCTAATATGCACCCTTTTTTTTTTTTCGAGGATGGTGGGGTCTAAACAGAGAACAGCCAGAGGCGAAGATGTAATATTTAACGTAATAAAACAGCTGAAAAAGACCTAAAATGTGTGCAATCAGCTGGTTTTTATATTTCATATGATCGTGCTTGCTTGCATTCACTTGTGAAATTTCTATGCATACAAATTTAACCCGGCTTGTTTTGTTTGAGGGCGAAAAGTGCATTTGCTGCTTACTTTCAGAGCCTGGTTTTCCACTTTCATAATGAGCTGCTCTTGTTGTTTCTTCCGAGCACGAGTATCCTGAAGCTTGGCTTTAACGTTGTTAATCTGCACCTGAAACTCCATAACTGCAGGAAAAAAGCAAGAGGAAAGTCGTAAAAAACATCATGAAAACACTTATGGACCTGCATTTTTTTTGTGTGTGTGGTGAACTAATGAGACTGATGAGGTTGGAGGAGGATGTGACGCCAATTTTGGTGCACCAAAACACAAAGCGTTGGGAACAGCACATGCATCTTTAGCACAAGGAATGCAGCTCTTGGGAACTACTGGTCCATTTAAGAGAAGCAGCTTGAAACACAATGAGACAGCTCAATCATTCTGCTGTGGTCTTAACAAAGAGTCCCATTAAACTGCACCACACTAACCTGTGGCTCCACCAGCATCTATATTTTTCACACTAATTGTATCCATTCACGGCTTGACTCTACTGGTGCTCCATTTTCCAATACGGTTGCTGTTTTATGCTAAATTAAACAGGAAGGAGCCCCTGCAGCATCATTTAATACAACTCTGCACAGCTGCTGGAAACACACCCAAACAATCTGGGACGTAACGGGAAAAGCTCTTCTTGGATGCTGCTTTGGAGCCGGTGAGTAGAGTAGCTGACTGACAGCTTCATGTATGCAGATAAGGAGGCGCTGCGCTGTCAGACCGGACAGCTGCCTGAGCTGCACGCGGAGCTACAGCACCTGTCAGACCGGTTAGTTAAGGAGGGGAGCCGGGAGCTGTCAGTGTGGGCGAGGGGCACAGTGTGTGTGTTTACATGAAAGAGGGGCTACTTATCTGACCGTGTGTGATGTCTGACCTAGAAAGCTCAGCTCTTATTAAAAGTTCAAGCGCTTAGCTTAAGTTTATTTTTGACATCTGTTTCGACAAGTACCTGAGGGTGATCTGATTTAATTTAATCTCTGACTTTGTTCCAAAATCCAACCTTGTAGCTGGGACCAGTAGGACAAAAAAAAAAAAAATTAACTCACTTGGCTGAGACTGAACATTTACCCCGTGGTGAAACTTGCAAGCAAAGTATGAAAGATTGCATAATCTAACGCAGCAGTTGCTTCATTCTGATGGCTATGTATGTCGGTTATCTGGAAGTGAACAGGTTCACAATCAGGAGTTGACACTTTACACTAAAATTCATTATTTAACAGCAATTTGTAAGGTGTTTATTAAAGAGTTAAAGTAAAGATACTAAAGTTTTTGCTCAATAATCCAACAATATTGTTAAAGTAAAGATATTTTGCACACCTATTCCTAAAAACAGGCGCTCAAGAAAAGGACAACCGAGCAGAACAAACTACCACACATTAATAATAATTAATAATAATTAATCAACATGTTGACTTTCATTAAACACTGACAGTTTGAACATGGTGCACAAGCTTGATCTGATACAATAAAATAAAACATAAAAAATATTTTGTAGCTTTGTGCTCAAACATTGTTTAGAGGAGCAACATAAAAAAAAATGCATTAAAATAAAAAATGTTGCTTTTTGTGTAGAAACTGCTGAGCGCAGGATGAGTTGGCTGAAATCTGTTGAAGCTTAAACTGAATTCTTACAAGTTGAAACGAGAAAAACAAAAGCTGAAACCAGATAAATGGGGGGGGAAAAAAAACAGAAGCACAAAGCTAAAATTAGCCAAACAGGAGCTAAATATTGGAACCGGAACAAAAGCTAAAAATGAGCAACACATTACAGACTGAGCAGATCAATAAAAAGCTGAAACAAGCAGAACTGTAGCTAAAAGCTGAAATAAGCACAAAAGTTAAAGTTTATAAGATGAAACAACCAAAACACTAGCTAAAAGCTAAACATATGTGAACAATAGCTACAACAAGTAAACATAAAATAAAACTTATAATTACCAAAACAGAAGCCAAACAGCAAAACTGTAGCTAAAATGTAAAACCACAAAAACACTAGCAAAAACCTAAAACTAGAAGAACGATAGCAAAAATATTTAGCCGAACAGTAAATAAAAGTTAAAATTAGCACAACAGTAGCTAAAAGCTAGTTGCTAAAAGCAAAATGTATCATCAAAAGACAAAAAAACGAAAAAGTACGCTGAAGCAGAGAACAATGCTTTTAAAGGATTTGAAGAGATTTTAATAACTTTCTCTAGGGAAAATGTTTATAAATTAAGTTAAACATGTTTAAGAGCAGTAAAGTTGTAACTACTAAATGTTAAAGCACATTACTCCAATTCAAGCTGAATGTTGTGTGAAAGGTTAAAAAAGCACAATGTGTGTGAAAATGTTTTGATTGCAAAAATCATATATATATATGAAACTATAAATAGGAAACAAGACACACACACACAATGATCTCATACGTATAAACAGAGTTAATTTATATAAAGTTAACTTATCCATGTGAAGTCCATTTGTAAAGTTTAACTTTCAGTGCTTCAGAAATCTTTAAACTAAGCAATTTAATATCTTGTAAACATGTACTTTTGCACTGAAAGAGCAGCTAGAGATTAGTTTCTGTCAAACTAATCAATTTATTAACGACAAATGTAATTATGTGTTTGTCAAACTAAGAATGACATCACAACATTCTCACCACCAACCTTGAGTAACATCGTAGTCGTCCATATTCTCACCTATCTGGTTGTTTCTGTCGCTCTCGTGCTGAGCAGAATCAGACTCGTTGAGTTTGTCTTGGAGCTGTCGCACCAGGTCATCCTCCGTGTCTATGATATTCAGGTCTTCGTCCTCGTGCCGGTCCCCTTCGTCCTCCTCGTCCTCGCTTGAGCTGCTGATGTCGTTGAAGATCTCCCGGAGTTCATCGTGCTGGACTGGCCGTGCAGAACATGCCAACAACAAGGACGCAAAGATGGAAATGTTGAAGCGTTAGAGCACTCACTGGAGTTGGGTTTAACTTAAAGAGACAACGGTTCACACGTGAAAGTTTCAGTCTTATGGAACAAAAAAAAAAAAAAAACAAGGACTGAAGTGAAGTCTGAATACCAAAAATAATTTTATAGTTAAAAAAACAACTTCAATTTCTGATGCTGGTGAAGATTCTCAGTCATCCAGGACATGACAAATTCATTGAACGTTTTTTTAATTCAATTTCTGATAAGTCACAGAACTAGGAATCAACTCTTGTATAATGTGCCACAATAGGAAGAAAACGTGGTTTTACATCAATTCTCCATTAAATTTAATTAATTTACATTAATTCTCCATTAAATTTGCATTTAACTTATACAAGACATCATCATCTCAGCACATAACAACCTTTAGAATTGACTTTAAGACAACGAAAAAAAGAAATGCATTGTAAATCTGTATCCAACAAGTTTTTTTTTCAATTCTGAGTTTTGTAGCAAACTTGACCGTTTTGTTTAATGAAACCCTACAAACAAACTTAAAAAATTTTATGAAATTAAAATAAAATAAACTGCCATTACTGAGGTTTGTTCGTCTTATGTTCAATAATAATTCAATTCAGTTTATTTACATAGCGCCAAGTCCCAACAGGAGTCATCTCAGGGCACTGTACAGAAACATTCATGTATATAAAGTTAATATTTATCTGAGGAGCAGACTGCTTTGAATTTAACGCCATCTTAATCTCTATGCCATAAGTCAGAACCAGATCATGAGTGTGATGATGAGCGTGAGTAACTGTGTGGATGTTTTAGGTAAAACCAACTGATTATATTAAATTCATTAAGGCTATGCTTGAGCTATCACTTTCAGCATCTACATGAATATTGAAATAACCCATTATTATATTTATCAGTATTTAGTAGTGTCGGTTGAGACTTCTGAGAATTCAGACAAAAACTGAGTTTAGGAGCCTGGTGGACGATATATAACAACTAGTGAGAGTGGCCTTTCTGTTTTCCATTTTGGATGGGATAGATTTAGAGACAGCAACTTAAAAGTATTAGAACTCTAGTTTTATAGTACTATATTATTAAGTATGATAATACTGAAAAATTAAAGGCTCAAAAAGTCACCATTCATGGCCACCATAAGGTGGCAATTTTATGTTTTGAGATCCTTTCTGTAATTATTAATCGCACTGAATTTACCTGTTTAAATAAATGAATTAAACTTTATTCTTACAAACATGTATTCAGTACATTTTTTAATTAAGTTCAATTACAATGATATACTTTTTTTTTTAGAAATTTAATATGTATGAAGAGCTTAATGCAATGTGCTTTATTCTGCAGGTTTAATATCTTCTTTAATGGAACAAAAGCTCCGCTCCCATCCCTGATGATATAAAGAGTGAGCTGGTTTTACCTGAGGACTCATGCCCCATTTTCAGCCCTGAAGTACCAGGTGAAGAGTCCAGATTGCCCAGAGAGCCGTGTTGATCTGCTTCTTTGGATTCATCTTCTGCTATAACTTCCCATCCTGAGCATCATGAGTTAGGGCCAAAGACCTTCTGCAGGTTTCAAAATTCACTGATTTGAAGTCACGTGACATAAATCTAAACCGAGACCTGACGAACATTAAATTTCACTGGTACGTCGTGGCTGATAATGTATGCAAACAATAAAAACATACAAGTGGAACCGATTTTCACTGTGACCATCTAAGCAGTGATAATGAACAGTCGGTCTACATTAACACACAGGAAGCGGCCGTACCGAGCGGCCCTGCTGTGCTCTTATTCTGTCAGAAAAGTTCAGACTTTCATTAGAGCGCTAATAGCTTCTTCTCACACGGCAGCCCTCTCATCGAGGCTTTACTGCGAGTCAAATACAGCGAGCTGGGCATGAGTCAGAAGACCCACATGAGCCTTGAAAAAAAACCACATGAGTTTTAAACTCTGAGAAAATCATAATTATGGTATTATTTATGCGTTACCAACCACCTAGACAAACAACTGATTTAACTGCTACATACATATAACAAATAAAAACTGTTTTCTGATTTGAAGGCTTGTCCACTAAGACAGCTCAAACCAGTTCAAATGAGACTCGTTAACAAAGCCCACCATTGTTTATAATCTTTTAACCACGCTAATTGCTTTAGTGATGTCACAAACACACCCAAGATAATAAACATACCAAACTAAGAGCTGTAAAGTTATCGGCCCTGTTACCGAGCGCATCTTGTGATCTCAGATACTGTAACAATTTAAGAGTACAAGTTTGAAACTCAGCGTGAAAGAACCCAGAACTGAACATGTTTTCTGTCAGAGCGCTCCCATGAAGTGGATGAGAGACACTTGTGACAATTTTGTGTCTAATTTGAAAGAAAACTTGAGGTACAAATTTTCTGAACACGTTCAAAACTCAAGTGTAGAGTTCGTGGACGTCTGCTACTCAAGTGAGGAAACTGAGAACCCCTGCAAACATTTTGAGACATTTAGGAAACTTAATTGTGAATGCCATTTGCCAACTAGTCACCAGCAGCCCACTGAGCTGCTACCTTAACAAGTGAAATGTTTTCAAGAATCCAAAAAGGTCTTACTGCCTTCGATTCAGATGGTTGGAACGTGAGAGAATAAATAGCACAGGAAGGAAGGAGTTAATCCTTCAACTGTCTTGTGTAATTATTAAACTGCTAGGTGAAAATGAGGCAAGTGTTTATTAAGACGTAACCTCTGTGTACAAAGACTACAATAGTATGAGTTTTATTTTCCTGCACAAATGTCAAACCCTCCAACCTCCCAGAGCACCCATGGCTCTTCTCAAAATTAGGCCTTAGTGTTTGACCTAAATTAGTGCATTTGTATACGCTTCCAAACATCTACAACACAAAACTGTTGGTGGCACTTTTTTATCTTTCCTCTGAAAATTAATTTAGTTTTTCTTCATCTCAATACTCCTACTTCATTTTAGTAAGCAGCCAAAATTCTGAATATTCTGGCGCAGAGGTACAATGACTTTCTTGGTTAAAAAAAAAAAATGAATGAATTAAAAAGTTGGCTTGCTACTTTCCTGGAAATAAAGCCAGGTTGTTTTGTTGGCTGGTTTGCAGATAATGTAATATACAAGATCTATTTATAGCGTTACAGTTAAAATCAATGTTTACTTGACTTTACAGCAACATGCCGTCAAGTCTAAGAACCCTGAACTTACTAATCTCATTTCCACAATTTCAGTAAACTGTTTAAAAAAAAAAAAAGTATTTTTCTGTCTGATGAGTTTCTATGCAAACCTCTGAATTTGCACTTTTGTCCAGCTATAATCCTGCATTAACTGTTCTGCTTTCATGATTCCACTTCTTTGATTGCAGATAAGACAAAGCCGTGTCGCTCGGTTAGTTTTAAGGCAAACGCACCAAATATCTGCACCGTACGAGTCTAAAAGGATACGAACACTGACAGCATCCGCATCTGTGCTCAGTAACCTCTTCACTTCCTTTTCCACATCGGGGGATTCGATGTACTGCAGGAGAAAGCAACAGATCGGGTTACGTACTTCTCAACCACCCACATACACACACACACACACACACACACACACACACACACACACACACACACACACA